GTGAGCAACACTGTCCTTTCTAATTGGGTTTTCAGGGAAAGAAAAAAAGAGAGAGATTTTCAATTTCTGTTACCACTCCTCACTTGAAGCAGGTGACTGAAAGTAGAGACCTTAAACAATAATTCATTTACCTACAAGACCCTGACTGTCCACATAAGGAAGGAAAAATGCAAAGCAAAAGACAGCTTGGGAAACCTGTAAGGTTTTCTTGTGTACAGCACAGAATTTAGTCAGTGAGCACCATACGCACGCTGCTTCTGGCTGAGTACTCAGAAAGAGCATAAAAAGATGCCTTTAAAAGGAAGAAAAGCTGGGCATTGGTGGCACACGCCTTTAATCCCAGCACTCGGGAGGCAGAGGACAGGCCCCAAAACAATACAGAGAAACCCTGTGGGGGGGGGGGGAGGAAAAGATGAGCTCATTCAAGTCAATGTTGATATTCCAGAACAATACTGCTCACAAGTAATTTTAATAATAGCAGTATTATGGGTTGATTTCTTAATGTGTACATAAAAGTACGTATGCCACACAAGGTTTTGTAGCCTGTGTCAGGCCTTCTGGAAAAGCCACAATCAGGAAGGAGGACTATACCTGGAGGCCAAGAGTGAGGTTCCCAGAAACTGTTTAATCAGCCTTCCCCTTCTGCTGTCTGAGGAGATCTCAGTGAGGAGACACATCCCAAAAGCAAGCTCTACCTCAGTGGTTGTCAACCTTCCTAATGCTGTGACCCTTTGATACGGTTCTTCATGTTGTGGTGACCCCAACCATAAAGTTATTTTCATTGCTACTTCATAACTGTAATTTTGCTGCTGTTATGAACTGTAATGTAAATATGAAAGGGTCAAGACCAACAGGTTGAGAAACACTGCCCTGCCTAGACCTAGCAGACAGACCAGGCCAGCATCTTCAGATACTGGTGCTAAGCAGCTCCAGTTACTAAACGAAGGAGCTCAGTCCAAAGGACAAGGTTCCTCAGCTCTAACTAGAAGGAAGTCTGCTAAAGCTGTCCTAGCCATGTTTAAAGACTAGGAGGAGTGTTCAGAATACCAGAGGACAGGCAGGACATACACTTCAATAGTAGAAAAGGACTTGAGAGAAAAAATAATGAGCCTTAATATGATCTGATAGTTCAAATGAGAATGGCACGCGGAAGGATTAGCGGTGTCACCAGGGGTGGGCTTTGAGGTTTCAAAAGCCATTCTCAGTTCAGTTAGCCTCTCTCTGCCTTATCATTGCGTTCTCAAGGTGAGAGCTCTAAACTACTGCTCCAGAGCCATACCTGCCTGCTGCCATGCTCCCCAGCCACCGGGACAGCAATGGACTCTAACCCTCTGAAACTCCAAGTCCTAATAAACATTTTCCCCCATAAGTTGTCTTGGTCATGGTGTCTCATCACAGCAACAGAAAAATGTCTATGACAATTTCCAAGATCAAGGTGAGAGTCAAAGGATGCTGGTAACAGGCACAGACATCCCCAGTACCTTTAGAAAGGCTGGTTCCAGGGCCCTCCAGATTCCAAACACCACATGCTCAAGTCCCTTATATAAAAAGATGGAATGAAACCCAGATGTGCTGGCTCGTGTCTGTAACCCCAGGACTCAGGAGTCTAAGGCAGGAAGCTTGCCAATAGTTCAGTACCAATCTGGGCTACATAGCTGAGTAAAACCCTGTCACAAAAAAAAAAAAAATAAAATAAAAAATAAAAAAGGAACAGAAAATAAAAATAATAAATAATATGGCATGACATCTGCATAAAATCTATGCTTTAAAGCATCTTTAGTGTGCTAACAATGCCTACCACAACACAAATGCAATTTAGGCAGTTGGTGCTATCTGGAGAATGAGGCAAAGACGTGTATATTTCAGAACAGATGCCATCTATCTCAGATTCTCAAACTGGCTGTATGGAACCCTGGTGGTGAAATCCGCAGACGTGGGGGCAGCTTGCTCTCCTTTTTCTCCCCCGCCTCAGTATCAGAGCTGCAGGCTAGCCACCCTGCTTTAACATCCGGACTTCCTGAGGTTCCAAAAACGCTTTTTCAAAAAAGAGTTTTTCAAATGTGATATATATGTGTGTGTGTGTGTGTGTGTGTTTTATATATATATATATATATATATATATATATATATATGTTTTATATATATATATATGTTTTATATATATGTTATATATGTATATGTATATATATGAATATATTATAATAAGATAACCAAAAAATGATCTTTTCAAATGGCTAGAAATTTCAGAGATCTAAAACTTTCTTAGATTCTACCGCTATTAAATATGAGGCTAGGGATGGCCAGATAAATGCAGCCCAAGAATGTTCTAAAGTGCTTTAAAGACACTTAGAGATAATTATTCCTCCATTTCTCTCCTGAAACTCAAGGAAGGTCAGAAATAGAAAGCCACTTTGAAAGCAGTGCTCCAATTACCCAGCGGGCTTTGGAAGCCATAAGCCCTGAACAAAGGTTTACAGAGGTGAGGTCTCAGATATCCTTGGCTGCTCCTGGACCCAGTCACTCCAGAAGAACTAACTCCCTGGGCAATTTTTCTCCTAACAAAGCAGCAGATAAGAAAATTCTCAAGGTCTTTGTCTCAGCACCTGTCTGAGATCAAGGTTAAGTACAAAGTAACTAAACCAAAGAGACCTAAATAACCCCAAACCACTGAGTTATCTGAATTGTTAAGATCTCTACTTACTGCAGCGTTTGGAACACAGAGAAAATGTCTTTCGCTCTGGGTTAGGCTGATTTGGTTTTTGGGGTTTGTTTGTTTGTTTGTTTATTGGTTGTTTGTTTGGTTGGTTTTTGGGGGGTTTTTTGTTTTTTGTTTTTTTTAACTACAGCATCCTCCTTTCACAACTAATTTAAAAGTTTATAATGCTTGCTGAAATATTAGAGCAAGTCTATGCTAAATCTGAGGAGCACGTCTAATGAGTTACTTAACAAAAGATTTAATTTACCTAGTAAAAACTTCTTTATGCTAATCTTAAAATCAACTATCTCTATCTTTTCCAGGGAACCACACAAAATAAGCTAACTCCCCATGAAGGCTCCCACACACCTCCCTGATAGTCTGTGCAGAGCACGCTAGTAACCTTTACATCTCTAGATTTATACAACATTACTGTGTAGATTTATTTTGTAGCACAATATAGGTAGGGGTGAGAGAGAGAGAGTTTGTGTGTGTCCCCATACATTATAATCCTGACATGCATCATTTAATGATCACCTTTACATCATCCCCACACCTTTACAAAGGGATTCCTTTAAAACTTTCATTTTTATTATATCTTAAGATTTTATTTCTTTATTTTATGTATGAGTTCTCCATCTGCATGTACAACCTTACTCCAGAAGAGGGTATCAGAATCCACTGTAGGTAGTTGTGAGCTGCCATGTGGTTGCTGGGATTCAAATTCAATGCTCTTAACTCCTGAGACATCTCTCCAGCCCCTAAAAATTTTCTAAATATCCCCATCTTAAGGTTTATTTAAAATAGGATTCTGTAGTCTCTAGGTAATCAGTAACAAAAGTTTCCAAAACATTTCAAATTCCAACCGTTGAGAATTTACTCCATTTACAATATAACTAGTGCCAAATATGTATTCATAGAAGCCATGCAACTACATTCGTTTTGCAATATTCTTACAAAGAAAAATTTAAGAAAAATAAAATGCAATATACACAAAGGAATACAGAGCATCTTATTTACAATAGAGGGGGGGAAAAAAACAAAATTAACATACTCATACTATGGTAGGGAAAACCAGAACTATTAAATGCATTTTGAAGACTGTAAAAAGAAACAAGAGTTTGGTACATTAAGTAAACAACTGTTCAAAAATATTCCAGGCTACAATTATAAACATAGGTAATATATTACGAGGTTGGTAGTTTGTGTGTGATTTCTTTTGACAATTCTCTGACATTATGGGTGCATCTTTTAAATTAAAATGGAAAACAACTCCAAGACCAGTGGAAGCGCCCAGTAAGGAAGGGGAAGGTAAAGAGGAGAAATCGATCCAGCTACCTCCTCCTTACTCATATACTGAGTACTTCAAACTGTACAGCATGCATCCCATAGCACAATTCTTACTCAAAACAAGGCTGAAGCAGAATCACAGCAAAATGTAAGAAACCTGAAGAAGATTTTTAACATATTTATCATGGGACAGAAACAGAAGTATAGAACAGAAAACCTAAACAGCTGAAGCAAGCAGGAAAAAGCCTGGATTGTTTTAACTGTCAATAGAACCATCCTGCAAGAGCCAAGATACCTCTCTAAGCACAGAGAGATCCCAGTACCCTAGGCTATCAGGCTACTGAGACAATGGTCCCCAAGACTCTGATCCTGGGAGAAAGAGAGGGTTGGGCCCTGGTGCCAGGCAGAGCGGGATCCTGACTCACACAGCCTGACAACCCTTCAGACCACCTTGCAGAAGCTGGAGGGCCACCTTTCATTAAAAGCAGGTCCACACCTTGACTAGACTGCTTACTTATGAAAAACCTGTATCCTGCTTAAGCCTAATCTTCATGAAGTCTGCTGGAAACAGACTTGGGCACAGTGTACGGACCACTAGATGTCTTTCTCTGTTCCTTCCTACTGTGGCCACATTGAGTAAATCTGCTTAGGTAGACAAGACTATGGAGAACAAGGACCTAAACTGCCCTGTTAGGACGTACAGGGCCATACATACAGACACACAAACACACACACACCCTTCTACCCACCCTCACTCCCACTCCTGCCCCAGCAAGTCTGGTATAAAGAGCGTGCTGCTTGGTTCAGAAGTCAGTGACCAGAGCTGTGCCACTTTTATATCATCTGCTTTTCTGTTCCTATCCAGCAACAGAAAATTGGCAAACAGGAAAAGCCAGCAGGAAAACACAAAACTCACACTGGGTAAATCAAAGACTGTTAAGCAGCAGCCTTCTAACCCAGAGTCTAAGTAACACTCTCTCTCCAAACACAACCCGGTTTCAATTCATCAGCTCACCTCATTCTGCCTCCACGTTTGCAGTAAACCTTGCTTTTGAGTCCAACTTGGAGAAATCTCTCAAAACCTAGATTAAAACAATTGTGAACTTCAGTATAATAGTTATTTTCAATTTTTGGAAAATATGTAACTGTAGGTAAAGGCCCTCCAAAAAAAACATAATTAATAAAATTCTTACTTAAAGCCTCCTTTAATTTTAAGCTTTATGTGAAACTCTATGCACTTAAATTTGGGCTAACCAACAGCCACTCTCACACAAAGAACTGACCCTTAACCCTGACTAGACAGACAGATGAGTATTCCAGGACCACACCCCAGACAAACAACACAGAACATCTAGGAGAAAGGCAGGACCAGGACCAGGCTCTAAGAAGAGCCCTAGAGAAGATGCTAATTAGCCAAGCCATCAGCATCCCATTGCCTATCAGAACCCACCTCCATCCACCCCACATACAGTGTTGTTCTGAGCAGTGCTGAAGCAGTGAGCCTCAGCAGGGTGCAATTCTATGTCCTGATGTCACAACTAGAGAAGGGGACATACTACTGTCATCTAATGGGTACAAGCCTGGGATGGTGCTAAGCCACACATCACCCAGCCCAAAGGAGAAATAAAGGAGAGGATGAGGACACCTCTTCCAAAGCAAGACATTCTGGCTTGTAGAATTTGGAATTTCTACAATTCTGGGAGAAGAGGGGACAACTCAGTCAATAAAGTGCTTGCCACCCAAGTACTAAGGAGCCAAGTTCAGTCTCCAGCATCCACATAAAAGTCAGGTATGGTGGCATTTACTTGTCCTTCCAGAATAGAGGAAGATGACACATGCAGGTGGACTAACTGGCCAGCCAATCCCAAATCCCAAGTCCCACTAAGACCTTGTCTCAAAAACAAGGTGAAGAACCCCTGAGGAATGCCACCAAGGTGAGACTCATGTACACACACTAATGTATGTATGTATGTATGTATGTATGTATGTATGTATGTATGTATGTATGCATGCATGCATGTATGTGTACACACACACACACGGTAATTCCACAATTCATTTTTGCCTTTTCATTTCATATTGTATGGGTGTTTTATGTACTTCTACAGCTCTCGTCACTTGAATGCGAGCAGAATCCAGAAGAGGGCACTGGGTCCTCTGGTACTAAAGTTACAGAGGGTTGTGAACTGGCATATGGATGCTAGGGATTGAATCTGGGTCCTCTGGAACAACAATCACTGAGCCATCTCTCCAGGCCTCAAATTCTACAATTCTAAATACTGTTCATCTGAGACAGATATAAGTTCCCAAGCACAGCCATAAAGTTATTTCCTATGAAAGCTACATTTCTGTATATCACTCAATTAAAAAATACAGATTTGGCCAGGCATTGGTGGTACACACCTTTAATCCCAGCACTTGGGAGGCAGAGGCAGGTGGATCTCTGTGAGTTTGAGGCCAGCCTGATCTACAGATTGAGTTCCAGGACAGGTTCCAAAGAAATGCAGAGAAACCCTGCCTCAAAAAAACAAAAACAAAAACAAAACAACAACAACAACAACAACAAAAAAAACATATTTGTGCTCAATAACACTAATTAGGAGAAAGAAAGAGGCTGTTTTTTGAGACAGGGTATTACTACATAGCTCAGGCTAGCCTAGATCTCACTGTGTAGACAAGGCTGGCCTGGAACTCATCAAGATCTGGTTGCATCTGCCTCTGAATGCTGGGACTCATAGTGTGCACCACCATGCATGGTTCTGATAATTTGGAATAAATGTTTCAATTTCCAAAACTCAAACTATGTTCATAAAAGCTTCCCAAAAGATGTTATGTTTTTCATTTTGTCCCCACCCCCCATTTACTGGGGTTAAACCTTACTTCAAACTCTTTTCCCAGTCACAGAATGAAGCCTAAAAACAAATAATATCTAAGGCTGAGCTTCTTCACTCATGGAATCCCCAGTCTGGATGAAACAAGGACTTCCTCTTTCCAGCCTGTCACCTGAACATTAGGGAGCCCCATCCTTCATTCAGCCAAGCACGTAAACACTGTAAAACTTACTCGAATTTTACATTCACAATAGGATTTACCCGGGGTCATATGCCCTGGAGAGAGCTGGAGAGGGAGCTGCAGCCAGCATTCCCTGGGCTGCCACAGCCAGAAGGTACAGTTAGACACCCCTGGGAGGAAAAGAACCAGAGGTGGATTCTGATCACACAGCCCAGAGAGCAGACTTGATGTTTACTCAAGGTTGGCTTCTATGGTATAGCATACACCCACAGAATGCGGAAAGATAGCCACTAACACTCAAAACGGAGGCTCTGTTTGTTAGTCGTAACGAATTGAGCTATAACCAGCCATCTGCGTAAACAGGGCATACCTGGCAGCTGACTAGGACCGGCAAACCACATGGGTACACGAACAAACATGCAAATTTGAAAAGCATGTGACGTAGGAACATACAAATTTCAACAGAACGGCTCCTTTCAATCTAGACAAGGCTTCCAGATAAAGCAAGCCAGACCACCTCTGATTCAAGACTGACACTTTGCCTCAGAATCCTCAGTGATGTATATGAACTGCCCAAGTCAGACTCAAGCTCTGTAACCCACACCACCAATGGGCCCAGGCACTCACAACCCACGGCAGAAAGTCTGGAGGCTACCAGCAAAACCTGTGATAGGTGGCAGGAGCTCCCACCCACACTCAGGACAAGGGGTAAACCAGGCAGGCCCTCAGTCAGTGTCACTCAGAGACGTGGAACCCTACAGGCACGATGACATGGGTAGGACCAACACAGGGCCTAGAGTCAAGAAGCCTGTGAAAGAGCACAGGGCCCCCACGCGCCCACTGTTCAAGGAGACCAGGCCTGAGCCTACTTCTAGTCAAGGCAAGAGGGGCAAGAAAGGAAGGCCCAGCAGTCACCAGGGAGACTCAGGAACTGCAGTATACACTTTGTGATGGGACCCTGACCCCCACTCCCATTTTTCTGGACTTAAAACAGTCTTTAAATCAAACTCATAGTAACAATTCAAACACAAACACTTTTTTGATGTTTGTTTTTTCCACTCTCAGCAGTAAAATATATTCTGTTCCAAAAAAGAAAGGTTGTTCAATTTCCTGTCAAAAGCAATCCAAAAAAGGCCACCTACACTGTAAAAGCAGCAAGGGGATGGGGGGAGAGAATACTGAAAAAAAGCCTGTGTGCGTGGGCGTCACCCAGTGCAATGTAACTAGCACTCCAGCTTGTTAAAAGCCTCTTCCTTGATCATTCGGAGAAATATGAAAATTAGCCAGCCTGATTGCCACAGAGAAGCTTGTCCTCCAGCCTGCCCAAGGAAAACAGGATCTGTGATGGGTTTCAGCCAGGGTGGTTACATGTCCTTAATGATGGTTTTCTATATTCTAGAGAAAAGGCAGATTCTCAGACAGCTTAAAGTAATGCTCCCAGAGAAAGGCAGCTATGGGTGTCCATGACCCTTCTGGCCAATTCCCATATCCCACCTGATACACAAATCTCTAAACTAAGACCACCTCCTGCCCAAAATATTCAGTCCTAGAGCTGTGGAGACTGACCGCCTGAAACCCAAACGTGTTCTTGTGAGTTATTCTACCCCACATCCTTTCTGCAAAGTCCACAGTCTTTAGACAGGCAACCAACTGGCCCAGCCGAGGCTGGAAGCCAGCTCCTAGTTTGATTCCAGGCACCACACCAGACAACTCATCACTCCCTGGGTCCAGCTCTGGGAGGATCTGTCACCCTGGTCTCTGCGAGCACCTGCACCCACAGACGAACTCAAACCCTGAGATATGCCCAGAACTGAAGTAGATAGATGCTGAGCAGTGGAGACAGAAACTGCCTTACCAGCCCATCAATAAGCAGGAGAAAACAGCACACAGAAAGTTAAAATAAAACACACGCTAAGTGAGTTAAAATATTACATTATCTCTGTCTATACTGTGACAGTGTCATTTCTGTAAACCATACTTCCTATTCAAAGAAGCTGTTTCCACAAAGGTTAAGACACAAGCGAAGGGGAAAAACTATGAACACAAAGAATGCACAAGTAAGACAACAGTAATTGCTGGCAAGCCTACATACCCAAGGACAGACCAAAACCTGAAAGGAAGCCAGTGTGGCAGGGCAGCTCCCCGCAAAGGAGAACCTATCAAGCTTTGTAAAGGATGTGTGTGATAAACTGGCGAATATGAGGTATTCAAACAACTGAAGGGCTATGCCTTGCTTTACTCAATGAATTCAGATAAACCTACAAAAAGATGCAGGCACAATAGAAATAGCCTTTTTCCCTGGACACTTGACCACAAAGAGAGCCAATAAAGGCTGGTGAGCACTTCCTATAAACAAGTGCATTCTCCTATACAACGTTTCATAGTTGTGACTATCAAAACCCAGAATACAGCGCTGATATAAACACCATGACCTACTTCAGAGGCCATGTTTGTTTTCCTCTAACTACCCTAGTAATGTCTATTTCAATAAATGGATCCAATTCAGGACCCTGCACTATACTTTGCTTTCATCTCAAGAGTAATACCTCCATGAATTCCTCATTTTCCTTAACTCTTGTGACCATGGCAATAAGGAGGATTCCTGGCCAGCTTGTGTGATGTCTCCTTGATTTATGTTTGTCTGATTGCTCCTTATGATTAGGTTCATGTACATTTTCAACAGGAATACTATACAAGAAGAGTTTTTTTTTTTTTTTAACTTCAATTTGTCAGGTGGAACATTTAATCATGTCTACAACATGGCAACATTAACTCATACTACTTAACTAAGGTAGTATCTGTCAGAATTCCACACAGTAAGGTTACTTTCTTTCCTTTCATGATTGTTATTTAGTGAGAAGACACTTGACTATACAGAAGTCAGGAGGAGTAGTTCACAGGTTAAGAGCACTTGCTGCTTTTGAAAGGACTGAGCTCATTTCCACATTCACACAATTACTCTAGCATCAAAGGATCTGACGCCCTCTTCTAGTCTCCAAGGTACCCAACACGTGTGGTGCACATATGAACATGCACACACTCACATATATACACAAAATAAAAATAAATA